TTACCATGGCGACAATTTTGGAACTTTGATTTACTATGCTGAAAACTTTGGAACTTTGATGTACTATAGTAAAAACTTTGATCTACTATAGTGAAAACTTTGGAACTTCGATCGAGTAATATGGAATTATGTTTTTGCTTCCCATTCTGTAAATTTTATGAACTTTCAAGTTTAAGATTCATAAAAGCTTAAGAGAACTAAAGAAAAAAAGACCTGTCCCCTAAAAGAATAATGTACAAGATTTGCATTGTAATGTTACAAATTGTCTCTTGCACGATAAATAAGAGATATTTATTTAAATTTATCAAATTTTAATGTTGTGCAGATAAAACGTAAGTATCTTTTATGTAGAAAAAAATTACTAAAACATATAATTTGTGTCATTTAAAATCGAAATATTTCCTTTCTGACCTTCAGTCAACATGTTTATTAACTGTTAATTGTTAATACAACATTAACATTAATTACTTTGGATATTTAGATTAAGATTAAAAACAAAAATCAGCCCCAACAAACCAGATATCATTTCCCTTAAAAAATCTAAATGAAAAAAAAAAACAACTTAATTAAAATATGCATAAGTTATTAAAGTAATTACAAAAAAAACTTTGAAAATTTGATAACATATGGCGAAAACTTTGGAACTTTGATTTACTAAATTAAAAACTTCGGAAATTTGATTCACTATAGTTAGAACTTTAGAACTTTGATTTACCATGGCGAAAATTTTGGAACTTTGATTTACTATGCTGAAAACTTTAGAACTTTGATTTACTATAGTTAACTATTGTAAACTATTAAGAGTTAACTATAGTTTACTATACTATTTTTTGTTAGGGTAACACCAAAGGGGAAATTTGTTTGCATACATGTGTATGGAATGCAGACTATTTGAGCTTCTGTTGCATTAAAATGACTTTTTTAAATTACAAATTTGTTCGTTATATGTATTAATTAATTTTAATGAACATACAGGAACAAAATCTTGAACTTTTGTACCCCACCCCCCAATGAAATAACAATTTACATTACTATGACTGCATTTATATGTATAAAAGGCAGTGCACGTGGGAGGGATGGACATTTTCACAGTAAATTAAAAATACATGTATAACAAGTACTTTAGCGTAGTTTGTAAAAAAAGATGGGGCAAGTTAACACCCCATCCCCAATTCAAATAAAAATTATAGAATAGAAATGATAAATTATAGAATGCAAATAAAAATTATACAATCTAATTATGAAAAATTATAAAAATACAAATGGAACATTACAGAATATAAATAAAAACAAGTGTTATGAGAGTATTGCGTAAGCAATACATGTCCCCTTTCGGGTTCCTCTTTTTTTTCAAGATGTCATTTTATAATATGCAAAAGTTATATCCAAGGTAAAACTGCATGATTTTTTTTAGGTCGTGAATGCCTTAAACCTAATAAAATAATCCACATCAAGATGAAAATTCAACTCATTTTTTCCAACTTCTTTTACTTGCTTCATATTTATCTCGATCATCAGAAGTTAGCGCATCTTAATTAAACGAATGCGAAAAATTCAAAATGCCATACTAGTAATTCAGTCAAAAATTAATAAAGCCATGCGAATACAAGATACACTCACATACCAAAATTCAGCTCAATATCTGCAAGCGTTTAGAAAAAAAGTACGGAAAATCAAGTGGGACAGACCGATAGACAGACGGACGGACGTACAGACGGACGGACGGACGGACGGAATTAACGATTACTATATACCCTCCCGCTTTTCAAGCGGGGGGTATAACCAGGTCGCCAGCGTGAAAATCCAATCCGCTTTTTCCCCTTTTATCCCCAACGCGCTAACCATTACCCTATTGGGAGTACTGCTCTAAATGTACTTGTGTATACTTTTGCTACAGTACACCTGTCTAAGAATTATAAAAGACGGGCCATTATTCATAATTTCGCGCCAAACGCCACGTTAAATCTTCGCGCCTTTTCATTGGACTGATCTATTAAATACGTGTCATAGCTTCAATGAAATTCAGAAAAAAGAACGTTCTCATAGCCTACAATTCGAGGTTTAGAAAATATATTTAACACATTGAACCCATTCTAGAAAAGTAACACATAAGCAGTGAAATGACTATAATTTATTTTTTTTTATTTCCGGTCTCAGAAGTGAACTATGCCGATTAGTTACACTTTCATTAAAAGGTTGAAATGTTTAGCCGAAAAAGATGCCTCGCTCTACGACAGTCAAGGAATCAGATACCATTTATGTTCAATAACTTGATTCAGATCTTTGAGAAAAGAATGTTAATATAAACTCCATTAGACGATCTTATTAAAATAGTTTTCTTATTTTTGTCTTTTCTATTTGTTTAATATCACACAAGTGTGCATGGGAAGAACAGTAGTTATACGTTTTATACTTACTATATACATGCATCGATATTGTTTCTTGAAAAACTATAACTTATAACTATGATTTAAGATCTGTTTTTCCGTCTTGCAAAACA